GGCAAGCTACGAGTAGGATCAGTGAGTCTGATGGTCGTCTTGCTTTCACAAGAGCAATACCTCACAGAAACATGTGACGAAATCCTTGTAAAGCGATAGGACCCTCCCAAATCATCCATGGTCTGGCCATGAATAAGAGGTTTTGACTAACGCTCATATTAGATTTCGATAAGAGCACTATGATGGGCCCCCAAACCCCTATTCTAGTAAGGCCGCTATATTTCGTTTGCAGACTTGGCACCTGCTGGCTGCAGGTTCTCTCCAGACGACAAGTACTCGGAGCACAGGATTAAGCCTTCGGCTCAGAACATGGTGTGTGCCTGGCTTGATAAGCTGTTGAAGCGAAAGCCGCCCTGCTAAGGTGCAAGAAACGATTCGGCGTGCTCAAAACGCAGGCATTTCGCGAGCTCAGATGTCAGTGCCCGCTGATTATAATTCAAATCCCGCTATCCCAGTGCCGATTCAACCCCTCAACTTAACCCGCCGCGCCACGTGGCAAGACCCTGAGCAAGGTCACACGTGCGTGAGATTACACCGCGCCAGGCGAAACCAGAGGAGCTTTGAAGCATCTGATGACGCACCTCGGCCGAAGTTTAGCAGGATGGCGACTGAAGGAATTTCGGGCATCTTAGTGTCTTAGTGCCCCCCAACCCTGTTGAATGTAGCTTGTTTGTATCGCGCATCCGATCCAGAGCATGATCCGGTCGAGGTACGGCCTTCCGCGGGATGAACAGCGTTTCACCATCACATAGAAATGCTGGAATACACTCAAAAGGTCCTAAGATGAGAATATCTCGAAGATAGCTTAAGTTGCCATGTGCCCCGCTAAAATTAGATATCGGCAACCCTTGAGAATACTGTAGATTGGCCTCATAATTAAGGGACGATCGATTTTGCAGAAAAGATTACGCGTAATATTGTCCATAGAATATTGAAAAAATTGATATTTCTTTATGGTAGATCGGACAATTCTTAAATTTTAGATTATTTATAGAATCCCAAAGAATAATAGAATGAATATTATATATAATATAAATTTTCAGAAAATGAGCATTCTAGAATATTTTAAATTGCTTGCTTATTTGTTTATTTTTTACTATATAAAGTTGTATGAAAAATTTTGTTGGAAAAATATTAGGTCGTTATTTGATTGGTTCTTTTATATTAATATTTAGTATATAAGATAAAATATAAATAAATATGAAATGTATTTTAAATTAATATATATATATATGGACGAGAAAATTTTATTTGTATTTTGTGGAAAAAATGAGAAAAATATATATATATATATGGTCACGTATTTGCCCCCTCCTTGGTATGGTTTGGTAGGGATGGGGAGGAGCTGGTGTGCGCGCGGAGAGTGGTCTCTGGAGGGGTGTTGCTGGGGATGGCCATGGGTTATAGAGATGGCCGGCATCTTGGGTCAGCTATAAACCCGATAATATGAGCCGTGTCCTTGTTTTTATTAACCTTAACGTATATTTAATATTTTAAACTTTCCACCCAAGCCTAAACCCCGTTGAAATGTAAGAGGGACCCCACACCCCACCCACGGGGGCGGGGGGGACGGTATCCTGGACCATGGACTAGAGGGAGGGGGGACCCGCGGACCATATATATTAGAAAATTTATTATATACAAAAATAACTAAAAATACATTTTTTTATTTATTTTTGAATATTTTTACAAATAAGAATCGTAAGCACATTAATCCTATTAGAAAAGATTTGTCGGCTCTTTCGATATTCTATAGAATTTACGTGATTTACGACTACAAAAAAAAATATTTCTTATTGACATAGAAAAAGAAATAAATAAATTTTCAATTATTCGTAAAGATACGATAAATAATAAATAAATATAAATATATATATACACGTAAGAAGATATAATAATACTCATAAAAGCACGAACATACCTATATTTATTTCCATTACGGTTTGCGCGAAAAACGAAAACCCGATTTTATATACGCACAAACGATCAATCATTATATAATTTTTATTTTAACAAAAAAAAATATATATATAAATTTATGTATCCTATAAAAATAGAATAGAAAAATATACGTAAATCAGAGAATTAATAGTATATAAAAATGGGCAAAAATATCTATTAAATTCCTTATTTCTCATAATATCAAAATCGACTACTTTCCAATAATCAAATATTCAAAGCATTTCATTTATAATTTTATTATATATACAAATCGTATAATTCGAAAAAAAATCATATTATCATATTAAAAATATAATTATAAATAGATTTGCTCAACGAATCATCAAAATACCGTAAAAATATTATATTTATAAATATAAAATAAATCCTAAAATATCTTAAACAACGAAAATCCAAAATTCTAGAAATCTTCGCTCTTATACCCATGGAAAAATATAAAACTAAGATATTAAAATAGATGCTCGCACAATCGTAAAATCAACCTAATCCATTATTAGAATTTAATAGACACAAAAATTTAAGAATATTTAATATCGAAGAATCGAATCAAATTCCAATCATTCAAAATTGAAATCTAAATTATTTAACCAATGGCCATTTTCTAAATGTATCAATTCCGGCCGCCAATCCTAACAATTTCATTATTTCCACCTATCAGACAGACGAGATCTCAGAAGTTTATCTTGAGATTTCCAATCAACCTCTGTTCGATTTTGATCGCCCGACAAAGACCAATAATTACACGTTATACGGGCCCGTATTGTTGCACAGGGCCGCCGTACGGCCGTGCGACCGACGTCGAACAAAAAAATCCCGACTCGGAAAAAAGTATGGAAGCATATATCCTCCTCTGAATCTGAAGATCATCTATCAAATCTGGATCCGTTGGGAAGATATCGCTTATTCCGCTGCCAGGGACAAGCTTGAGGCTCCTCAAGCTGCCATTGATTTCTAGTCGTCGTCACTGTAGCTGCTGTCCTGTGCATGAGGAAAAGCTTACTTAGCCACGCAGCCCCTACCGAACAAGCCAGGCCGAAGCCCATCAATTTATCAAGCACTGCAGGCGCCTCGTCGGCACGAGCTTTGGGCTTAGCCTTCGCTTTCATCTTGAACTTTGCTTTCGCCTTAGCCTCTCAGTTGCGGGCCGGGCAGACTTCGGGGATGCTTCCGATAGGGGGGTGCTATATATGCATATTGAATTTGGGCTTTGGACTTTATGCTGGTTCTTCTCTGCAATGCAGTCGAAATTGAGATTCAAGATTGGAAATAGAATACAGATTCCAGTAGCGGCAACATGGAGTAGCTGCATCATCATTGGAACGGCCATGCTTCTCTCACTGTCTATGTTGAGATTAAGAGTTTCTGTGCAGACTCTTGGAAAGTGAACCTTGCCCGTTGGTCGGCAGCTTACGGAACAGTGTCCCTAACAGCTTGTGGCAGTGGCAGCGCTCGGCGCCGCAGCCTAGCGCGGCGTCCCTAACAGCTTACGGCAGTGGCAGCGCTCGGCGCCGCAGTCTAGCACTGATGCCTTGGCAGCTTCTGCTTCCTTCGCGGCCTTTGCGCGGGCTTTGGCGATCCGCTCGTACACCTGGGGCAGATGGCCGCTTGCCGCACTCTGATCACGATGTGCCTTCGGTTGAAGGCTCGACGCACAGGGCCACGATGGGCCACGTCTTCAGAGCTTCTAGACAAGGAAGTAGAAACCGGCATTAGAGCGCTCTAGACCAGTTTGAGCAGAAGCCCCGCGAAGCTAGGTCCTGCAAGCCAACTAGTCTCCAACATTTTTGACACCAAGGATCGCCCTTGCCCAAAACCTTTAACCTTAAGCCCTCAACTCTAAACCGTTCCCCGGCCTGGTACAAGCACCCTCCGACGATGCCAATCGGTATCCCAACTTGGTGTGGCAAAGCAAGCTAACCCTGATTCTCGTCAACTAGTATCCCTACAGTTGGGATGTGCTTGAATGTTGTCCTGTGTTCCAAGGAGTTCTGGCGAGAGCGCAGTGCTCGCTCAGAAGTTCAGAACGGCCAAAGAGTCTAGTCTACCGCAAACCAAATCAATTGCAAGCGAATGACGCAAGCGCATGAATTGATTGACACTTGTTGAACTGAATGGAGCCTTGTTTCGTGCTTCTGGCTTCAGTAGTTCGTGTTTGTGTGCTGACCTCGACCACAGCATGCAGTCCAAAACTCTTGAAACATTTCAAGTCCTGACCTTTAACTTTCCGGGAGCAAAATCCGCGCGATCAGCAGCTGCGATTTCGGCTCGACTTGCATTCTAGTGCCCCAAGCCTCAAGAGTAGTGTTTATCCTATCCTTTCTGACCGGCCGTCGCAAGCGTTTGGCTGTTTGCGGTCGATCCATACGGACCACACCGCTCGTCGTTCGCTGCGGATGCGTTCGTGTGAGGCATCAGAGGGCCGCGCGCACGAAGATGGCTGAGAGCCTCAGGCGAAGGAGCCCCCCCAAAATCAAAAGCCTGGAGGCTCTGGTGCAGAGAAGAAGACCACTGGGTGCCGGGCCCTAGCTGGAGGTGCCCGGCCTTTAGCCCGGTGCCGTGCTCGTTCTCTGCGAGACCGAGCCTTGGAGCGTTTTTGTATTTTGGGTTTAGGGTCCCCCCATGAAAGTAGTCGAGGAGACTGAGGCTTCCAGCTTGGGGCACGTCGTCTCCTCGATGATGGCACCTCCATCTGCATCTTTCACACCCCCATCTGGACGCCTGTGGTGACGCTGCGATTCAACAAGGCGGCTTCCCGAAGTTCAGCCTGCATCTATAGGGTTCGGTCATGGGGAACCGGTAGAGCTGATGTTGCTGATTTTGTGTGGACAGGTTCAGGGTTTACAGTGCAGTCCGAGTTTGATAGAATTTTGCACCACTCAGCTCCTGGCATGGTCAGTGGACAGAGCAAGTTGCTCCGAGGCTTTGCCCTGTGATGGAGTGAGACGAATGCCTCAACTAGAATATCTTGGTACAATAGGCTGCCTTAAACCCAGGACTGCCCGCATTCATCGACATGATGTTTTCACTTCGGTGGTAGCACTCCCAGCCATGCCCGCAGTGCAGGCAGTCTGTGTTAAGGTTGCATCCTGTCTTCTCATATTCTGGTGCCTCGTCATCTCCCTGGCAGTGCTTGGTTGTGGAGGATTTTTCGTCGTGATCGAGGTGCTCTGCAACCTGGCCGACGCCGACGCCCTGCTCTTCCACACTCCGAAGACCTGAAGCAGGAACGAGCAGAAGAAGCATGATGGTGGCCATGGCCCGCGCCATGTCGAGAGAGCTGGCGAAGACAAAATGGAATGAACTGACCAACAACTAGTGGCTTGAGCATCAACTCGCCACGATGCTCCAATCATGTGATCCGACTTGCATCGCTTCGGAAGTCTGTTCCTGCAATGATGCTGAGCAGCCACCCACCCAAACTCTTCCTGCATGAAAGCCCTTCACACATGGTGCAGCAGCTATCACATCCGCAACCCTAGTAGTTCACAAGAATAACGCCTTGAGTAACTCTTGTGATAAAACCATAGTACCCCTGGAATGGCAACTACAGCAACCACTCAAATGGTAGGCCTGGCAATAACCTTCATTGTTAATCCCTACACTGACGAATATAGCAACCTCCTTCGCCTAACTGCTAAAGCAACCCTAAACCCCTAAAACCTTAAGCCTAAACAGCCCCGAGCATTCCTTGCAACCGTTCTGCTAGACCCAAGTGGCCTTTTGTGGCCGAAGTCGCCGAACGAGCTGCTGCTAGCAAGTCCTGTGCAGTCAGTATAGGGGTCTTGAGATTTGGACAAATCAGGGTTTGCGATGCATCCGTTGGGGTTGCTTTGGGGGTTTCACAACGGTTACTACACGATAGTGGCCTTGAGAATTTTACCAGGGTCTTGGGGATAGGGTCTCGGACTATGTCATGCCACAAGTAGATAAGGACTCTGAGGGATGCTTTGTTGACAACGTGGATCGGATTGTCAAGGGCCTAGCCTCGGCGAAAGAAGAGACAGGCTGTGGCCTGAGCAACTATGGGACGCTTGCAGAGCTCGATGCTTGGCGAAAATGGCTCTTGACAACGAAAGCTCCTGATTTCATAGCCCGAGTCTTAGCCGGGCCACATTTGTAGCCAGGGCCAAAACCTTCCGATCTTGAGGAGCCCAGATCACGGAATCATCAAACCTCGGGAGGATCCCTCGATGAACTCCTGACTGGAGGAAGCGGCTGGCTCGTGCTTCTAGCGGAGGCGGCGCGGCCAGAAACTCGGCGCAGGCCGCTCGCGACCTGCTCTGAGTCAGAAAGTTCGTCTTTTGTGAACCCTCCGATCCGCTGACGTCAGAAAGTCATGCTGGCCTGGCCACAGAGTAGCCTACGTGCACCAGAAACCTAGTAGCACTCTTTTCTCCGCCGTGGCGGCCGGAAAGGTTTAGCTTTTGAGCTTTGGCATTTCAGGCTGATGTTCGTAAGGGATGACTTGAGGTGCCGCCCATCCAAGGCTGTGCGACAAGCAACAAGGCCAAAACTCTCCCAAGACAACAAGAACCGACGAGAAAGGCAAGGCGAGGATCACGATAGAGTGTCATGATACTGAAATCAGACTCACCGTTTAGATCCGCCTGGCACATCCGGAAGGTGAGAACTGCTCTTGAAGAGAGAAACAGCTCTCTTCAGGACCTCAACCCGGGGGGGACGTCATGATTCAGTGATGGCGACAAGCTGTCCCAAGTTTAGAAAACCATTCACTTTAACTGCGGGGCTCGGCACCGCTGCATTGAAAGGCTACATGGATATGAACATAACATGCTTAAACTTCTGGGATCTGTGCCCCTTCGTTGTTTAAATATTTGGCCGTGTCAATTAGGGATGCATGGGGTCTACCGCCTCTGCGCTGATTTGTCCTCAATGTTTAGGCTGCCATCCCAAGCCCCTGCGGGTCCCTCTCTATGGTTCCACCCAATCGTCTCTTGCCCTACTGCAGGTCTTGTGCCCCCTGACTGAGGCTATTGGCCCTTCACTGGGTCGTCGGCTCGGCCATAGTCCGGAGTTGTGTTTCATGCCTGCATCTCATCAGCACCATGCAGTAGTGCAGCACACACCTTGCATCTTCTTGGAAACTGTGGTCATCTCAATCCGGCAGTGGATCTATGGCTCATGTGTTTGCCGAAGGGTCACATGGTGTCACATGGCTTTTCGGGCCGCGAGCCGAAAATGATCGAAGCATTGGAAGAGGCCGGCAACACCATGCAGTGGGATTGTGATCCGCAGGGCACTCATCCCAACAGCTAAAAGTTCTCGACCAACGGCTCGCATGCATGCCTTGCCGCTGACTTGACAAGCTCTCGACATCAAAAGGCACTCGAGGATGCATGTTTGTTCAATTCACAAGGTGCTCGAAAATGGCCGTGGGTCAAACCGACACAAGTGGCTCCTGTACATCATTGACAGTATTGCTACTCGCTGTTCGAGACGCGGTCGCTTCACAACCGCTTGAAAACAGATCGTTGCATGGGCAACTTGGACTTCGGAGAGAGGCAAGACCAGTGAACCCGCTTCGAGGCGAATGGCATACCGCTTGATGAAATTCTGCCCATGAAGCAGGAAGCCGAGTAGTAAAGTGCACTAGTTACTAAGTACCCTCTACCCTACTGCCTAAAGAGACGTGCCAGCACATGTTGTGTAGCGAAAGTTCATGTGAAGTTTCCTTCTTGCGTTCTTCGGATATCACCAGTCCACAGGTCATGCGGTCATGCCTCTTACATGCAGTGGAAGACACCCCAGGCCTAAAAGTGAGCACACTGCTCTCTTCAACTTCTTGCCTGTCCCGGAAAGGCTGCCGAGACAATGCAGGCCACCACCTCTCGGATTCAGCCCATTCAGAGACTATGGCTGTTGCAAACGAGTACGCCCACCGCTATTGTTGCCGTTTTCCTTCCCGACGCATGACTAATAAAAGGACTCAAAGCTCCTCTTGATGCCTTCGCGATTCTTCAAAAGTCCAGTGGTTTGATTGTCTGCAGAAGGCCAGTGTTTCGTGCCCAAGTCGTAGTAACAACAATAGTAATAAAATACTAATGATAATTATTCGTATTACAACATATGTATGTATGTATGTATGTATGTATGTATGTATATATGTATATATATATATATGTCTGTGTGTGTATGTTTTTTGGATGGGTGGACAGCCGCGGGAAGAAGGCGGCGCAGCCACTAAGCTCCGCACCACAACCGCCGTCAAGGCGACGGGTGCAGGGAGACGTGTAAACATGAGAATCCACCTGAGCTGGATCTGTGAAGATTTCAGGATCGGGGTCACGTCACAGACCCTCAAACAACCTTGCGAATATGACCGGGAAGTAGATTTTCGATGGACAGATGTCCAGGTGTGTCCGGATGCCACATTTGAACACATGTCTTCTTGTCTCCAGGCTCCCGGCCGCCGTGCTGGAGAGTTTGCCAGGAGACGGAGGTGTTCCAGAGAGGCTTTGAGGCCTGCATTGCCATCAACACTCCTCATATTGTTCAAAGCAACCTCATTCACGATATGGCTCGAGGTGCTACTGTGATGACTGCATGATCCTCACTAAGGCTTCGTGTTTGGATGTGCAGTTGAGTAGCCAGGCTGGTGTCAAAAAGGCATCTCCCAAGAAAGCAAAGACAGAAAGCTGGAACCGAGTAAGGAATCTGGAGCATGTGTGCATGAGGCCCGTAATATAGCATGCTTACAGTGGTCTTTATTGCCTTATGCCTTTGCAGTAGCCCCTCAACTAAAACACAGCTCCCAAGGCTTGGTAAATGTCACCAGTGCACACGGGTCCGTAGTAGGATGCAAATTGCGCATGGACAGCAGGTAGGACAGTGCGCAAGACGGCGCAACAGTTCCTGACTGGAACGGAACAGAAGAAGCTGCCGTAGCATGGCAGGAGTAGAGCTTGGGCTGCCAAATTCAGGCCCCTTACCGCAGATGCCCAAAGCCCAACACATCAACACGACAGAGCAGCCCGTTAACATCATTAAAATGCATGACATGGCCTCGCTTCACCACCTGCAAACGTGCAGCCACAGATTCGGCAGCCAGCACGTCCGCACGGAGTTCGGGTGCGACCCCAAGGGGCGGCAAAGGGTTCAGCAGTGCTGCCTGTGGAAGTTAGTGCTGAAACTCGGAGGTTTGGATAGGTTTGGATGCAATGCCATCAAACTGCCGCTGCATAATGCTGACTGCCCTTTGGTAAGAATCCCATACTGGGATTTCGTTTCCGATCGGGTGTGGCTGTTCATCCAACCACTGTCGTGTGCCGAGGCTCTGCCCAAAGCGCCATGGCTCCTTCATAAGCGATGACCAGGGGACTACAACCCGCTGCAAAGACCGCTACGAGAAACATTCACAGCACTGCATAGCAATCACGGCACAATCTACCAGGAAACAGAAGCCGGCAGTAGCTATACTAAGAAATGGCGACAGTATTGCAAAGAAAACAATCGTCGCCAATGGTCATAAACAGCAGTAGTATTCGTCGAAACAGTGGTGGTAGTCACCATGGTAGCTGTATTCAAAGTAGCAAATGCATCGGCACCAGCACTCATAGCAACTCGCCTCGGCTGCAGCCGAAGTGGTACAAGATTCCCACAGCCATTCTGCCGCCAACCGTCCGCATGTTCTGGAATTCCATGTCCCCGCGCAGGAATACTTGCAGCAACAGAACTAACAACAAGTCGCATGGCAGGCGTTACGACTTTAAAAGCATCAAGAGTACCAATAGCGACCGCAGCACGATTAGAGTTACCTAAAGTGTGACAGCAACACCAACCATAATCACAAGCTGGCGGCAAGACTATCGACGGCAGTAGCCATACTTGTAACACGGTGTAACCCGAATGTGACCACCACCATCATCATAGTTCATCATTGGCCACATAACAAGAGTCAAAACAATCGACATCTTAGCAGTAAGAAGGACAGTCGTAAGAATCTACAAGAAGCTCAGACAATAGTTACGAAAGTAACAGTATAGACTGTAGTAGCTACTCTGGCAGCTAACAAAAGCATCAACAACATCTTCTAGTCTACTCACAGACATGACACCAGAAACAGAAGTGTTTCGAAAGCATTACAATAACAATACTGACGACAAGAACAATAAGGACAATCGCAAGGACCGGAGAGATGCGCAGGAATACTGATAACAATAAAGATAACCCCACGCATACTGCTGCTTCTACCACGACCACCACGACGACAACTAGTATTGTAGTGGCGAAAAAAAGATGGAAGAAAAACGGAGAAAACAAAGATTCATGCATCGGGGCTCGCTCCTGGCTGCGTGCAGGGGGGTCGCGGGCCAAGTTGTCGTAAGATGCCCTCGAGCTGGTGCGGCCGCTCAGCGCGGACGAAGCCCTCCGCAGGTACTGCAAGTCTTGGAGAGGTTCAGGATCAGTCGCGACGTCAAAAGTCATCTAGCTCGACATGCTGTTGCAGCTGATCAGCACGTGTATCAAAGGCCGCCTGCCACTCCTCCAGATCCGGAAGAAGAGATTCCGCTGTCTCTACCTGCATGCTGGGTTTTGCTGATTTGCTGAGAGTCCAGCACCGCAGCCAGTGTTCCTGTGTTCCCGAATCCGGGTGCATTCTGAAATCTGGGATGCCCAAGCACTGCCAGGCCAACATTCAGCACTGTCAGCGCGCGAAGATTCAAGAGCCTGCCCGTTGCAGCATGCCCTGCTCGTTTCCATACTCCTGCTTCACTCTAACCGTAACCCCAGAACCTGGCCCAAACTAGCGGGGCCCCGCAAGCCTCTTCGGAGGCGGGCACCTGTCACATTGGCCCCAGCTGACAGAGCAGTGCTGGGCTCCCATGTCGCTGTTTATCCTTACTCCGAGAGGTTTCTTGAGGCAAGGCTTCAACGGGACATTGATCATCTCACATTCCTGATCGAGTCGGCGTTTCCTTGCCGAGCGGATTTGCCCGTTCCTTGCCTTCTCCGTGGTGGGAAAGCGGACAGTGGCCAAGAGGTAGCCACTTTCGTGCAGGCTGGCCTCCGATGCAAATGATGCGCTTTTGGTGCTTCTTGGGTTTGTCATTAGGACGGTTGTTTTCGGGGCTTCGGGCACGCAGACCAAACCCTGCCGGCCTCCAAAATCTTAAATGGCCTGCTTGCGACAATCTGCAGCTGAAATCTGCCATCGTGGTCTGCTCGCAAACCTGCACAAGGCTTCAGGAGGTGCATGTGGGCCTGCTCCAAAGCTGCGATCCTCTACTCATCTGCATGGCTTGCGGTCACACTGACGACGAGCGAACTCCGTCCTATGGTGAAGCCCGGTCCTCTATGACAGCTTCGACGCCGTGCTTGAGATGACTGCCACTGACATCAAATCCTGCGAACACAGTCAAGCTTTGCCACACTTCGACGCCAGCTTCCAGCACTCTTACCATAAGGATGACGACCCAGTGTAGACAGTTCAAAGAGTAGTACTAGTAAAGGTAGCCACGCGAGCGCGATCTAGCACAGTCGACACAGTCTAGAAAGTTGCCTTGAGTGCAATACACGAACAACAACACTTGCAGCCCGGGCGATTGCAATGCTGTTTGTACTGGCGAGGCCAGGGGCTCGAAGCCAATTACACAACATGTGGTACAAGCATGACAGCTGCAGCAACAGCAGTCTGGCTTCTACCA